TCGCGTTTAATTTTACTTTTAATCATTTTTACTTCCCGACGTTTCGGGTGCTTTCCAGCACCCATGGTCCCCCCAGTGTCAAGTCCCCCGTGACCATGGTTGCTGGAAAGCATCCGAAACGCCGGGAAGTAAAAATAATTAAAAGTAAAATTAAACGCGATAAAATCCGTAAAAGTAGTTTAAATCAATATGCGTGAGCGACCGCAATGCCAAAAAGCCCTTTTCAGGGCTAACAAAAAAATTCCTATGAGTTTCTTATACACGTCACGTCAATCACAATGATTGCCTACTTATAACACCTACGGTTAAATACTTAGGTATATATCATATTATATATTACATATCGTATAATCGTACCGTCCCTCAGTCAACAGTTACTATTATGAATTAAAAAAAGTTACTGTTCCTATTATATACCTATGTAAACATTACAACGAACGCACAATTTTAATTTGCAGTAGATAAATAACCTAGGTAAGTATCCTATTATATACCTATGTAAAATTACAACGAATGCACAATTTTAATTTGCAGTATCCTAAATTTCTAGCTAGCTAAACACATTGTACTAAAACAATAAACGTGGATATATTAATGTGCGTTGTTACGTAATAACAATTTTCCAAAAACTAAATACCTAGGTACCTATACATACGTATATCTAACTACACAGTCTACTACTTCTCAACAAATTCAACTTAAATTCACAGATTTAAAATTGCTAATTAAATGGCCCTAACACAACTGACTCCTAGCACGCAAGTATATTATGTACCTATATATAATTATCACTTTCACTCTCTTCTTCTTCTTCCTCTTCGTACAATACATACAACGTTATCATAATAATAATTTATCCTATCCACTGGTGTGTACCTCCTAGTACATACATTAATTAAACTATTACTTTTCTTTCTGCATTCATTTCGCCCTCGCCCGACTGCCCTACTCTCCTCAATACAAACCCCCCCCCCTCGCCCTACCCCTCTCTTATGTTTGTCTCGTATTGCGACCCCCACCTAGCGGTGAATCGATGCTCGCTATATATATAAGCGGATTGCTGAACCTCTTCTGTCGTCGAGCTGCGAACGCACCTTGGTACGTCCGTAATGCCGACCTTCATCGGGACCTAGAGCTCCCAACAATTCAACAATTTCTTAAAAAACTCTCTGAGAACTTCTTCAAAGCCTCAGAGTTACACCCAAACCAATTAATTCGTGAGGCAGCTACTTATGCAGCCCCACCCCCCTCTCGCTATCGAGTCCGCAGGCTGATAAACTCTCTCTCGGACCCGCCTAATAAACTGACAAACGACCTGAACTGCCTCCTGGCGGCTCAGGCCAACTCTAATTAAATTAAATTATTGTATTGACTAATATTAATTTGCCTTCGTAGGCACTCCCTCAGTGGCTCGTAGCCGCCTGCGCCCTCTTTTCCCAAAAGAGGGTTGCTCACGATAAGGCACAATACAGCTTAATCAGCCGGCTGCCTGTCCCCAAAGGCGGTTTTTAGAGGGTATCACTTAGGGTCCCCGGTAGGACAGTGAGTCCCTCATAACCACGATAGACCGGCTATCGTGGTATGCGTAATGCATTTTCCGCCTCCCTACGTATAGGGTAACCCTTTAATTGCTTCGGGCGCAAAAAAAAAAAAGAGTTCGTAGTCCGTTCTGTCTGTATAGAGACTATATCGGTGTGTTGTGTCAATTTGATATTCAATTAAATAACTACAATGTCTGGACGTGGTAAAGGCGGTAAAGTGAAGGGAAAGGCAAAGTATCGTTCGAATCGTGCCGGTTTATAATTCCCCGTCGGACGTATTCACAGGCTGCTGCGAAAGGGAAATTACGCAGAACGTGTGGGTGCCGGTGCTCCTGTGTACCTGGCCGCGGTCATGGAGTACCTCGCCGCTGTAGATATATATATATATATATATATATATATATATATATATATATATATATATATATTTATATATTTGTGTTAAGTGTACAATAATGGGCAGCCTAATTAAAGTTTTAGTACCAACCACACGTTTCCTTCATTGACACCTTTCCTACATTACATGGCGACCCGGTGCGCTGCGACAGTGCATGCCGGGGCCTACATAAAGAGAATTTTTATTACAAATAAATAAGTAAATAATGTAAATTCATCATGGATCGAAAATGAATATTAACGAAAATATAATTTATAACAGCGCAAAGGACACAATAACGGAGAAGACAGAGATTGAGGTATACCTGACGAGAAGATGTGTCGTAATTTTCCCTAACGTTGCCCAGCCGAGTTGAATCCGTCGATTGACCTCTCGGTCGAAGTTGGACTTACCTAGTCGGACTATTTGTCCCAGGTAAACGTACTCGTCAACAACTTCGAGCATAGTGCTCCCAACAACTACCGGCATAGGTGTGACATGGACATTAAACATGATCTTTTTTGTTTTGTCCATGTTCATCTTAAGACCTATCCGTTGGGAGACACCATTGAGGTCATTGAGCATAGTGCTAAGGTCCTCCAGGGATTCTGCCATAAGAACTATATCATCGGCAAATCGAAGGTGAGTGATGTACTCGCCATTGATGTTAATACCGTATCCTTTCCAGTCCAGTAGCTTGAAAACGTCTTCCAACGCAACGGTGAAGAGTTTCGGGGATATAACGTCACCCTGTCTTACACCTCTCTGCAGTTGGATAGGATTCGAACTCTGGTTCTGTACTCGGATAGCCATCGTAGCCCTACTGTACAAACACTTCAGCACTTCGATATACCGACAATCAACTTGACACCGCTGAAGGGACTGTAGCACCGCCCAAATTTCGACGGAATCAAAGGCTTTCTCATAGTCCACATACGCCAGGCAAAGTGGCAGATTGTACTCTTCAGTCTTCTGTACAATCTGCCGCAGGGTATGTATGTGGTCTATGGTAGTGAAGCCTTTTCGGAAACCGGCTTATTCGGGAGGCTGGAAGTCGTCGAGTCTGCGTGCGAGACGATTCGTAATGACTCTCGAAAACGGCACGTAGACGCGGCTCAGAAGGGAAATCGGTCTGTAGTTCTTCAAGAGAGCGTTGTCGCTTTTCTTAAAGAACAAGACCACTGCACTTCTGCTCCACGCCTCCGGAGTAGTGCCACCATGGAGGACGGAATTGAAGAGCTTCTTAAGGACTTCAAGTACCGGTGTTCCACCCGCTTTCAGAAGCTCCGCTGTAATTCCATCCTCGCCTGGGGCCCTGCCGTTTTTAGGGTGCTGGAGAGCCATTCTAATCTCGCTCAGACTGACGTCCGGGATATCATCGGAATAGTGTCGGGTAAGACTTGCTCTTGGATCGTTACTTACACTTGCGTGTGGCTCCAATGATGATGTGTACAGCTGCCCATAGAACCTCTAAATCTCACTCAAAATCTCAGGTGTCTCGAAAACGATGCTGCCACACTCAGTCTTCAGCTTTGACAGATGGCTCTTTCTGGCGGACAGATCTCTGGCAAAGACTTTGGAGCCCTGGTTCCGCTCGATCGCTTCTTTAATACGAGAAGTATTAAAGTTGCGTAAGTCTCGCCGCATGCATTTGGAGATCTGTCTGTTCAGTTGCCTGTATGCTGTCAAATTTGTTGACGATTACAGCCTCATCTCCCGTCTAACAGCCATGAGATTAAGAGTGTAATCGGAGAGTTTTTGTGTCTCATGGAGGGATATTTGCCATAGTTGCCACGCTTGGCGAGAGGGTTGGCAACCGCAGTTTTCTTATTATGTTATTGTTGTTATTAGGAAGATGCTGCTGCCCATCTCCTTTTTGTGTCCCTCTGTCGTCACTTAAAACACCCACGGGAAGATATGGGGTAGTAGATATTATTTATATAATTAAATATATAATTATTTAATTTAAATTATATTGAAATCTTGAAGGCTTCATCGCTTTGTTTGAAGATGTTTTTGTACAAATTTATTTAAAATTGATTTAAATACAGCACGATTGATTAAAATATAAAGTATCTAAATGAAATTACAAATCAACCACTCCCCCCCCCAAACCACGCCTTTTTCTGGGTCTCCTAACGCTCCAGATCTCCAACGCCAACGAGGGGGCGTTATCGTCCACTTTCAGAAAAATTGCGATAGAGCATCAGGAACATGTACAGATTATATGCGAAAAAATTGTGTCCTGTGCACATCTAACATAGATATATAACCTGCGTGTCTTATCTTCATTCAAAATCCTTGAAACAGAATGGCGGATTGATTTTTCTATGAATCTCCTATCTAGATGGAGTGTTGCGCTACAATCGCAACGAAAATAACGGGCCCGATTTGGAGCGCTTGTGTGCTTATTACACACACAAGTATGCATAACTACTATTGTTTAACAAGCGCGCTGCATCACTCGGTGGCGAGCTAAGTGATACCAGCTCTTAAATATTTCCTATTAGATTAAGTTCTCATTCGACACTTTAATTTTTTTATATTTAAAGTATAAATGCAAAAAAAAATTAAACATATATTTCATAAATTAAATTAAATAATATAAATATTATACTTATTTTTATTTGCAGAGTTATAATGTTATAATATAATAATGATTGACATGATAATTGTACTTTTAATTTATTTTATTTAATTTGATAATAATTAGGTATATTATATTGACTTAATTGCTTATATATTATAAGTAATTAAGTCAATATAATAAAAAAATAAAGGTGACAGGTGACAACTGTATTTTGTTATATATTTCTTAATATATATTTATTAATTTATATTTCCTTCTCCTGCACTACCATTAAGGACGGACATGATTCTTCTCAAAATCAACAAGATAAAAAGATAGGATAAAACAGAACGGACGTGTTTGTTGCGCTTGTGTATAATTATTTACTTTAAAAACAGTTATAATGTCTGTAGATTGTTGGGCTTGTGGTGTCCAAGTACCTGATGGTTGTTACATAAAGTGCTCCAAAAAACAGTGTGAGAAATTTATGATTTAAAATGCCTGGGACTGACAGAAAATAAATTCAGTTCCTTCTCGGATAAGCGCACGAAGCAATGGGTCTGTCCGGAGTGCGCTTGTTCTAAACCTAAACGCTATGACCCGAATACACCTATCAGGGACACCCCGGATCTGAAAACATTCACGCCCAGTGCTAATGTCAACACTCAACGGGGAAGCCGCATGCAATTGATGGATGAATCAATTGTCGAGTGTGATAATAATAGTAATGATAAATTGCTGTCTGAGTTTAGAAAGCTAAAATATGAAGTCTTAAGCCGATTAGACGTGCAAACTAACATTATTAAACATCTTCAAGAAATATGTTTTTCTACAAAAACGGAATTAGAAGAACTAAGGATTAAAATGAAAGTATTTCAAAATAAATTGTTCCCAACGGATCTGTTATCAACTCAAAATCAACAGTTTGAAAGTATTGATAGTATAACGGAAAGTTTGAATACAGGCCTCGAAATGTCTAAGCAAATCGATGTCCCATATACATTCGCTGATGTGGCTCGCATGAGCCTAAATAATGTAAACAAAACAAACGTTACTCCCTGCGTAATAAAAACGCCTGCGGCCATGAAAATAGCAACCGGGAGAGGGTCCGTTGTCCAAACTCAACCAATTAATCAGCCACAGTGTGTGACTCCAAGGAAAGAGTTAAATATTAATATTAGTGAGGAAGAAGAAAAAAATTAATAAAGATTGTGAGTGGACTACAGTTCGTAAGAAAAGGGGGAGTTACCAATCAAAAAATGTGAAGAAAGGAAATAATACGGTTTTATTAGATATACAGGCTACTGAAAAAAAGCGGCACCTTCACGTGTGGCGTTTGAGTAAAGAAACCACAAGTGATAAATTAACATCACATGTCAAAGGAGTATGTGGTCCAGATGCTAATGTTAAGATTGAGAAAATTAAGTATAAGACAGAGAGGAATTACGCTTCTTTTATCATAACAGTATCAGAGTCAATGTATGATAAGTTGTGTCAACCGGAAGTCTGGCCCATCAATGCGGAATTTTGCGAGTGGATTTGGTTTCGAAAAGCTACAAATAAACCAATTAAAGAAAAATAATAGTTTTGAATTTTACTATCAAAACGTCAGGGGTCTTCGTACAAAATTAAACTGGTTTTGTAACAATATTGAATCATTGAATGCCGATATAATTGATATTACGGAAACAGGATGCAACGATTCTATAATGGATGCGGAGATTGTGCCACCAGGTTATGATATAATAAGGTGTGATCGAGCAGACGGCCGTAAGCTAGGCGGCGCGTTTCTCGTGGCCACACACGGGTTACAGCTGCAACGAGTGAATACACCGGGTGACGTAAACATAGATAACTGCTCATTTGAACTGGTTTGTGCGACAGTACACGCTAAAGATAAATGTTTATTTTTATGTTGCGTTGTTTACATCCCGCCTAAGACTAAGGAAGATGTTTACATGATTTTTTTTTAAGATAATAGAACAATTGTGTGTTAAATATAGACATATTATTTTGATAGGTGATTTTAACTTAAATTCAAGTAATGATAATGTTAAAAATTATTTTGAATATTTTGTGTCCTTTTGCGAATTGGCTCAGATGAATAAAGTCCTTAATTGTAATCGGAGTCAACTAGATTTAGTGTTGTGTTCGTTAGGATTAAGTGATGGCGTACAAGTATGCGAAGCTGACGAACCATTAGTGCCTGTGGACACGTATCATCCACCGCTCGCGGTGACTCTGGAGCTCAGCGCTGGCGGTGTGACGTTGCTACCCGTGGGGGCCGAGCCCGTTGCTTTAAACCATGAGACATCAGCAAACCAAATTAAATCGCAATGGAATTTTTATAAAGCTGATTTTTACTTATTTTATTCTTATTTAGCTTGCGCCGATTGGAGTTTGATTAACGAGACACAAGAACCAGAGGAAGCTTTAGAGTTTTTTTATAATGTTTTTTACGGTGTTTTAGATAAATGTGTACCGAAAAAGCGGGAAAATAAAGTAGATCAAAGACACTACCCCGAGTGGTATACTAGTGATTTAATCAGGGACATAAAATTAAAGGCTAAACTTCACAAGTTATATAAATCGACCGGATCTCGTGCTTATTACAAAGCTTTTTCTGCTTGCAGGACGCGAATTAAGAAAACTATTGATAGCGCATACCTAAACTATCAAAATCGTGTGCAAAGTAACTTGACAAAAGATCCTATGTCTTTTTGGGATCATATTAGGGCGAAAACAAGGACCGTTAAACGTAAACAAATATTGAAAGATGGAGTAACATTGTCAGATCAAGAAAGTGCGACTAAATTTGCCAAATACTTCTATTCAGTGTACAACAGCGAGCCAGCGCGTTTGAACGTAGACGAGGCGGTGTTGGCGGGCGGTGCGGGCAGCGCGCGCGTGCACGTGCCGCAACTGCAGCTAGGTGAGGTGCGCGCGGCGCTCGCCCGACTCAAGCCGAACCGCTCGGCGGGCCCGGACGGTATACCGGCGTTTGTGATACGAGACTGCCGCTCAGTGCTGGCAGAACCGTTATTACATATTTTCAACTTGTGTCTGAAGAATTCATATTTTGAGCACAACTAGTAACCTCTTAAATGCCATGACGTATTTGGTTCCTCATGTTGATGCAGGATTGCAGGTAGATGCCGCCTACTTTGATTTTAGGAAGGCGTTCGACTTGGTAGATAACGATATCCTACTGTCAAAGATGGCGAAAGCTGGCTGCACATCTAAACTGCTTCATTTTTTTGCAAGTTACATGAGAGATAGAAAACAGTATGTGGAGTATGGCGGGTACCGGTCGGAGCCTTATTTTACTAGGTCTGGCGTGAGTCAAGGTAGTAATTTAGGGCCGTTAGAGTTCAACATAATGATTAATGATCTACCCGAAGTAGTAAGAGAGGCTAAATGTCTGTTATTTGCAGACGACCTAAAGTTGCTTTTAGCCATCAAGACTGAGGATGATTGTCGGCACCTTCAGCAAGATATCGACCAAGTAGTTGAATGGAGCCATAAAAATAAACTACAGTTTAATATTTCAAAATGCTCTATTCTATCATTTAGTCGTGCAAGGGCACCACTCCATTACAACTATAAGGTGAATGGCGAGCTAATGAAGAGGGAGGAATCAGTCCGGGATCTTGGAGTCCAGATGGATGTCAAATTGACATTCCGGGAGCACATCATGAATATATGTAAGAAAGCTTATAAACGACTAGGGTTTATCATTCGCAGAGCAGTAAAATTTACCAACATTAAAGCAGTATGATGCTCTAGTAAGGAGTCAGCTGGAGTGTAACTCAGCAATATGGGCTCCACATGAAAATAAATACAATCTTATGCTGGAGCGCATTCAGAATAAATTCACGCGATTTATATATCATAAACTTTATGGGGTTTATCCATCCTACCCCTTGATGTATCCAACCTTGTTTGTTTTAGGTATGGTTGGATACAACAAGTTGGAAACTAGAAGAGATCTAGCGCTGGTAATCTACATTTTAAGGGTGTTCCGTGGTTACATCAGCAACCCGGGTGTGCTGCAGTGAATAGGCTTATGCGTGCCTGATAGGTATGTACAGCGGCGACGACGGCCGAGCTTGCTCGCGATGCCACGCGGCAGGACTAAACTGGTTCGCAATACCCCCCCTCACGCGAACGATACACATACTAAATTTGGTAGCTGAGAAGTTGGACTTATTTTCGTGTTCACGGAGTGAATTCGCAAAAGTGTTTTAAACATTATTTACAATATGTTATTCTTAAATTGTAGTATACAATTGATTGTAATGTATTGTCATTGAAATTAATTATTATGTATTGTTATTTAAATTAATTATTGTGTTGTAATTAGTAATCTTTTACCATTTGAATTGTTACTTTTTGAATTGAGATGCTACATTTATCGATTTAGGTTTTCCCTGTAATGGTAGATGTTAGTAGGAAATATAAATAAATAAATAAAATAAATTAATAAATAAATTATGTTGTTTCACATGTCAGATGTGGTAAACACGTGGACTATGTATAACTATTTGTCACCTTTAATTTACTATATTTATTAAATAAATAATATTATTAATTTTTTTGATATCTATATAGTCAGTTTAAGTATTTATGTAGTTTTGGTTATAGTTTTATAAACATATAAATGAAAATGATAGATATAAATACATAGCAATAAAATAAATAAATAATATACATAAATAAACAAAATCCAACGAGATGTGAGACCTCGGCAGGGGAAAGACCACAAGTAGTACGGTCGAGGCTTTGATTACATACTTATTTAATCAGACGAATGTTACACAAAATAGGTTAAATAAAGTAATTATTTTGTAGATTACTTTTATTTATTGTAGTAACAACATAAATACAATGAAAAATATAAAAATATTAGAAAGAACTAACAGAAATACTCTTTAGTGCATGACGTCATGGGTTTCATTTATTTTGTGTATGTAAGTTATTATTTACCGATCAAATAAATAAAATAATTTTTAAAATAATAATGTTCTACTGATCGAACGATATATATTTATAATATTATAATATTTGTATTTTATCTATCTATGTTTCGCCAAAACTCCCTAGTAATAAACTGACAACACCGGCTAATCAGACTAACCTACAAAGTAACGAATTAAAAACTCGTGTTTTCATAAAATAATAATGGTTAAGTAACAAAACTTATTGATGAAAAGTGATCTTGGTGTTATTATACGGTTTTCTCAGATAATTGCGACAAAATTTAACAGCACTAACCGGCATAATTAATTATTTTTCGTGAGCACGTTATCCCTAAGTGATTCAAACTACACTGACGTAGGTGAGAAGCGAGTCTACTAATTTTAGTAAACTTTATTTGGGCCGTTCTGTACGGACAATGTGGCATCTAGACAGGTATATAATCAAAGATGTTGTAACAAAAAAATTTGCCTTTACGTTTTATTTTATTAGTATCTGGATGACCGAGCTTTGCTCGGTTTTAATTAAAATTTTTTATGCAATTAGATTTTCTCACAAAAGAAGGGAACTTGAAAAAAAGAGGAAAAAAAAACTCGGACCGAAGACGGAAAGCAAACCAAGGCATTACGATTTCGCGACCGCTCGCTATCCACTTGAGCTATAGCTTATATTGTAGCAGTTTTTCATTGCCCGAAAACAAGGACAAAAAAGACATTTTCTAAAAATAAATCATAGCTAGATCGATTTATTGCCCCCGAAACTCTCTGGACACAAAATTTTATGGAAATCGTTGGAGCCGTTTCCGAGATTCCGAGATATATATATATATAAGAATTGCTCGTTTAAAGGTATAGGATTTACTAGCGATCCGCCCCGGATTCGCGCGGGTGATTTGACGAGGTCTTAGCACGATTTCATATTCGTTTTTTCCCGCATTCCCGGAGTGGGCGGAGTGCAACCGGCAGTGGGCAGTGTCGGAGAGCGCAGCGTTAACACAGTATGCGCAAAGCAAGCAGACATTCACCTCCAAACAAAAACTTTTCCTTGAGGTCTCCTGTTCGCAACACTACTAGGTATTATATGTAATAATATTTTGAGTACATACTCATTAATATCAAAACTGTTTACGAGGTGGAGTCTGGACATCATACTACATTTTAATTATCAATATTTTTTTAAAGTCAGTTTTATGATATGAGCAGGTACTTAGTCAACTATTTACATAT